AGGAGTGGATTCACCTTGTGTAGCTCCAGCTGCCATACTGCTGGGGACCAGGGCAGTAATTAACTGGGAAGCTGTGGTCAGCAAAACTACCCATAACATGAGCTATTGGCAAGGGCGTTGCACATTCCAGTTTGCAGAGGACTTTTGCATGCCTCCCCACAGGGCCCTCACTGCAGGCCTGGGAATCAGGTATCCCTTGCTATCAGAGCTCTGGCCACCTGCTATCCTGAACTCTGGAAACAAACAAATTGAAATAACATGTTATCCCTTGCTGGCCAAATTTTTACTTCCTGAATTTGGGAACCAAATATATTCAGAGAGTGATTGATATTTGTATTATTGCTATCTATTGGAGGCTTAAAGAAATTAAGAGACTCAGTTAAGGTCACATAGCTAGTAAATAGTAGAACTTGGATTTAGAACCAGGCCTATTGGTTGTAATCCTTGCTTGGAATTAGACATGCCTATGAAATGTGTGGTGATGGGGAGGGTCCTGTCACCCTAGAGTTAGGAGCCCTGAACTGAGCAGGGAGTGGGATTGGCCAACCTCTTAGATTACCCTGTAACCAAGGGCCCATGATTTTATGCAATCAAGACTATTTAGAAAAAGTGGCTATCTAAAGTACAGAGGTATGCAGGCCTGAACAAAGGCCAGCCAGTATAAAACCAGCCATTGACTGCTCTTTGCTCCACAGTTGCCGTGACCTCTCACAAAACTGCCCCTTTCATGGGAGCAGAGACAGTTATTAGTCAGAGAAGAGCCTTGTGGAGGCACCATGGTGAATGTGGAGGCAGATAGTGAATCTTATCATTCATTCACTCACTCATTTTTCATTCAACGAGCACTTTAGAAGACACTCTCTATGGTAGGCTTTGGGCCAGGAGCTAGGGCTACAAAGGTGAACAGAGAGACCTGGCCCTTGCCCTGGAGGAGCACGGTCTAATGGGGGGACATACACATGAGCAGATGACACAGTACATGTGGCAAGTTCCATCATGAAGACACACAGGGAGCAGCTTACCCAGCTTGGGAGGTGCGGGAAACGCTTCCTGGAGCTGTCCCCTGAGCGGAGTCTTGAAGGATGAGTTAGCCAGGTGGAGAAGCAGGAGAAGGGCATTCCGGGCAGGTGGACAGCGAGGGAAAGGCATGGAGGTGAGAAGCAGCATGGTGCACCGAGGGAACAAGAAGCTTCTGCGCCACGAGGAGCCCACGGATGGTTTAAAGCACGGGGTGACATGGTCAGATTTGCATAAAGATCCCTCTAGCAGCTTAAACCAGTAGCAAGCAGTGGCAGTAACTTTTAAATCTCAGCATCTGGAGCTCTCTTGGCCCCAGGTAAGAGTTCTGGGACCATCTGTTGAGATCACTATATACAATGCCAGGTTAACAAGTAATCGAGACCCATTACATGAGGACAAGGGACAGAAATTTAAGTTCAATTCCACTGACTGAAATAAAATGCTCAAAATGGCAGTCTCAGATCCAATACCCACATACTGCAGATAATAATGGATACCAGTTTTATCTTGGTACCTCCAGGACCGAGTATATTTCTTATGAATGAAGAATCTGCTGGACCATTCTGCATTTAGTAACCTACATTGCAGTCACCCAGGCAAGCTAGTACCAAAAGGAGAAAAACTGTGTATTGGCTGTGATGACTGGTCAGTACAGCCGGGATGTCTCAGTCAGATATGTAAAGACCTGACCCCATTCTTATTTTCCCTCAGTTAATATCTGGGTCCCAAGATTTAAAAAGGGTACTAGGCAAGCCTGCTGGAGGACCTGGAATGGCCCAGCCAGAGTGTGGCACTGTGGGGTATGGGCTTAGTTTTTACTGGGAGTCCCACTTGTCTGAAACCTGATTCTTTTCAGGCCAGCCCAGCCTCCTTCAGGTGAGAGGGAGAGACAGCAGGCTATGAAGCTGGAAGCCTAGATTCCAGTGCTTCCTCCATCTTCCAAGCCTGACCAAGCTGGCAGGTGCCCCCTCCTCTTTGAGCTTCCCTTTCTCCTCTGTTACCTGAGGCCAACACCTGCCCCATAACATTGGGAGGGTTCAGTGGAATGTCACAGAAAGAAATGCTTCGTAAGCAATGCATACATATAAATTGTTAGAATATTATCATTTAGGTCTGTGGACTCAAGGTAATTCAATAGCTGTAATTCTTTAAAAGCAATCTTCTTAAGAATGTTTGCCTCAGTCAACCTCATGTATTACTCACAGCTAAGTATATATCTATCAGAAAGTGGACATGTACTTTCAAGTACTCTATAGGGAGGAGAAGGGCATGAAGTGATATGTTTAGTGTCCTCCATGGGTTCCCTACAGCCCTCATGTCATTTCATCCTCACTGTGCTCCTCTGAGGGGGTATTAGTATCCCCATTTTCAGAGGAGGACACTAATGCTCCAGGAGGTTAGTGAGAGACACAGGTTTGCACGGCAGCACTGATTTCCACCCATGAACCTTGTAAACACCTAAGAGCACTGTCCATGTTAACCAGTATTCACAGGGTAAATAACACAGTACGTAACGGTGTTAATTCTACTTCTCCCTGGTGTAGGAATTCTAGGATGGTCTAGGTGTTATGAGGATATATGCATCAAATGGCAGTGTGGTGGAAGTGGGGCTTGGATCACTTGCCTGGTTCTGTGAGAGTGGAGTTTGGGCTCCATTTGTTTGAAATAGCTGTCTTTCCTTTTCAGTGGCCTTGGCTGCCCTAGCCACTTTCCTAGCCCTACTGGTCTCAGGTGGTGCTAGGGGTGGAGCCTTGCTTTAACGCAGATGGTCCACTGGTTACATCCTGAAAGAAACTTCTCTACCTATGGTCCTGAAAATGTGAACTGCTTTAAGGCATTTTAGCAGTAAAAGGAGCCTTAAACCACAGTGACACACTAAAGGAGTCCATAGACTTTGTGAAATGGGACTTGACACTCCTCAAATCTATGAGAAGCAGGTTGTAAATTCTTAAACCTTAGTGAAGCAAAAGAGGGAAGAATTTCACAAAGAACACACAAACTCTAAGGAAGAATGAAATACATTTATAGCTAACTTAGCAACAATGACCTATTTTCATTGAAAATAGGGGGCTGGTTTGAATTTTGTTTGTTTGCTGTTTGTGGGAGGCAATGTGAGCGATGGGTTACAGATTCGCCTCCTGGGGCTCTGGGCAGCAGAGGGGAGCATGGTGGGAACCACAGGCGGAAGAGCCTCTGGGGGAGCCCTGAGTGCATGGGCAGCACTGACAAAGCTGGCAAGGCCCTTGCCTTCCTGCCTCCTCCATTGCCCAATACTTGTCCTTTCTCTGACTCTGAGTATGTCTGACCTTCTCGCACTCTCTTAGGTTACTCTAGGTGTCTTCATTTGTGTGCCTTCCCGTGTCTTTTTCTCTCTGTGCCACTATTTCTACCTCTCACGTCTCGCCTGTCTTTCTTACCACCTCTCTCAATCCCCGTTTTGTCTCTCTCCCTTAACTCGTCAAAATAGAGCTTAATAATATGCTTTTATGTATTTGTTTTATTTCTTGAGCAGCTTTTGTGTTTTCTGCCTCATACAAAAGTAGACAGGTGGGTGGGATGTTTTCTATTCATGTGGAAAACAAATACATACGACTTTTCATTTATACCACCCTTGATTGATTTCTACCCCTGCCTCCCCCAAAACTCAGCAATCAGGTCCAGCAATAAAAGTCCACCCTAGGGCTCCTAGCTTAGAGCAAGAGAGGATCTGTGGTGTCGCCCGACGCGTAAGCAAGCGACAGAAGCATGACAGGGGAGCATGCAGAGGTGTGGGTGCAATCTGGGCAAATGGAAATGGAGATCCCAGTTAGCAACCGCCCACTCACGTGCACCAGGCCTCTCCACCACCGAGCTCTGCCACTCTCCAGCCTGTGCCATGACCCTCCCAAGGGAACTACCCCCCAGAACTTAAGTTCATCCGGCGTTTGACAGCCCCCACCCTCCAACCTTTGCTTGGGCAGACCCCTCTGTCTGGCATGCCTTGGTCACCCCCAGCTCTGTTCACCTGGTCAACACCTACCCATCGCTGAAGTCCTCCCTGATCCATGGAACCAGCTAGAATGGCCTCCTCCTTCGTGCCCCACTGTGATCAGAGGCAGGGTCTCAGTCATCCTGGTTTCCCTAGTGCCCAGCACAGTGCCTGGCACATAATAGGTATTCAATCAACATATGTTGGAAAAATGAAGAGTATAAAATCTTTTGTCTTCCACTTTACCAGAAGGATAACAAAGTGGGCAAACTTGGTCCTAGCTTTCAGGTTCCCACCCAGCTCCCCCACTTTTCCATTTCTAGACTTGCTCCCTGTGGCGGCCTTGCCCTTACATATCCACACCCCAGCTGCTTTCCAGGGCTCCCGCTGCCACAAAGCCTTCCACAACTCCCCAGCCCTTGTTGGAAGAAGCCTGTCCTTCATTTGAGTTCCCAACTACCTGATCTGTTGTTACTTTACTTGGTTGCCTCTCTGGTGGCTGTTTCAGCACCCCCACATAAGGCACACACGTGACTGTCACCTGCACAACCCACAGTGAGCCAGCCCCCTAAGGGTGGAACATCCATAATGACCATAGATTAACTGAGCAAGTGAAGGCATCTCTGCCATCCCTTGGGAGGAGAAAAAGCCAGAAACGACAGTCCTGCCAGTCAACAGGAAGGAGGCAAAGAGTCAGAGCCCAGCCTCCCAGCATGGCAAGGTGGTGCTGGGGGCAGGCAGTCACTCTTCCCGGCAACATGGGATCAGAACGTTACACTACCTTGTTGGCCAGTGCGTCTCCCGGTCCATCTTCGCTTTCCCAACACTTAGCTCTGACTGCTTGCAAATAGTATCTGAGAGGCAATCTAAAAGAGTCAAGCTGCATTATGGAGAGCCCCAGGAAGACTGCAGGGCACAGCTCATCTTGCACAGAATGGCTCAAATGGAAAAGGTTCGTTCCTTCACCTACTCAGGTGGGCCTCATCAAGGAAATAAGATCAAGAAAGTGGTGTTCGTCTTTAGCATTTATTTATAATTGGAAAAACTGTTTGTTTGTCTGTCTGTTTTTCTGAGCAAGCACAGACCACAAGCACGTCACAATCAATTGGCTATACATGAATATTTTTGTCATTCTCTTACAGCAGGAATGAAATAGCACCAAGAGAGGTGTGCGCTACACGTTACATAGACAATCTGTGGTATGCAACAAAACCCAGGCCACAAAATCGTAATTAGACACTTCCTGTCTGCCTCAGAGAGGCAAAGCTATGTGGACCAAATGGGAGCACGGACAGAGGCAGGATTGCTGAGGGAAGCCAATGCACAGCTCTTGGGGCTGCTTTTGCAGGCAGGAAAACAGCGGGAAAGCTTCAGTCCTTGCTCCCTCGCCAGGGAAGGACGGGGAACCACAGGGAAATGTACAGAGACCAGTGGGACAAGCACTGGAAGCTTGGTCACCTTCAGGAAGGCAACACCCAAACACTGCTTGTGGAACCAAAATCAGTTTCATTCAGTATGTTTGGGATATAGAATGAGACTGGCTGAGTTTTATTTGTAAACAGTAGAAATCAAAGGAAGTTTCTTGCCATTGAAGCGACACATTCAAGAGTCAAAGTGAACTACAAACAGGGTTTTCTCAGTGGGTGTGTTAAACAGAAGGGGATACTGACAGGTTGAAAAAGACATTCTACAGGTCCTCTAAAGCCTCGGGTGGGCAGGGTAGGAAGTTGGTCCCTGGGGCAGTGAGTGGGGGTTGGGGGGTGGGGAAGCCTGTGGGACCCTTAGGGCAGACTGCGATTTGGGCAACACCAACTTGACTTGGTCACAGGGATCAAGTCGTGTGCACCCTCTGGTTGTGTGGCTGTGGAGACAGATTTCTTTATACTGCCCACCACGCCCAGCACAGTGCCTGGCACACAGGCTTCTAGCAAGAGAATGCTAAGTGAATGATCCTCTGTGCATTGTAAACTCTGATTTACTTGATCTGCAAAAATAAAAGATTATTCTATGGAGAAATCCAAACTGTGGCTAGCATCAACATGTCTGACTAATGCTAAATCTTGAGAGACTGAACATACATTGGCAAATTCTCTGGATACAATTAAGATCATGTTGCTAGAGCTTTCTGGTAAATGTTAAGATTAGCTGGCAAAGAGTTGGAATCAGTACTGAGATCCACTCCAGTCATTTCCTGATAGCTTTCAAAATCTGCGACTCATAAACATGGAAACCCACCGGCATTTTCTACCTTTTTTCATACTTCTCCTTCCTCACAGTTTCAAACCCTGAGATAGATAGGAAGGTCGCAGTGGGCCTCACCAATGACTTCATTTCTGGTATTCCTATTCTGTTAATAATTATGGCTCATGTAGCACATGCCAAATTAATTTGCAAAAGACTTCTCACTCAGCCCCAAGGTGACAACGAAAATGATGTAAGCAGAGACTTTGCTGCCTGAATGGTCAGAATAAGAGAGAGTTTGCGGAGGCTCCACTTCCTCCAAACCAGAATGACCTAAAGGGACTTTGAGGTAAGGAACTGTGAGACCCTCACTCTTCACCCCTTTCATTATAAAAGAAGAGCAAGCCTGCGCCGGGGCTTGACACTGGACGGCAGCCCAGCATGTCAGAATGCCAGGGACGAGAGAATTTTAAGGACAGGAGATATAGAGTGTGCTGAGCAATATACACATCACATTGGCAAATTTTATTTTTCTGGTAACTATTTTGCGTTCCCTCACAAGCACTGGGTTTTTTTTTTTTTTTTTTCACAACAACTCCCTAATTCCTACAACACAACTCTAGCACAGCTAAGGTGGCACTTGCCACCCCTGGGGGCTTTGGCCACACACACACACACACACACACACACACGACATGGAATATACTGAGAGCTGCTTTTATATATTAATGAGGTCAAAGCTGCTTGCTAATTAGTTAGCAGAGCAGTCTCCTAGTCTGCAGCTAAGTCACAGACATTCTCCCTGACCTGAGGCCTGGCACTGCTGCCCTTTCTGGGGAGCAGACCAGAGCGGTTCAGGAAGGGAGAGTAAACATTGCCACACTTGCCACTACATCTACGCCCCCTTGGGTCTCTCAGAAACAGAAAGTCAAATTCCAAATAGACTATCCCTACACCTTGAACTTTCTTCCTCAGACATCTCCAACCAGTTGCTCTGGGAAACCAGCAGCATTGGACAGGTGGTCAGCTGAGGGGAATCAGAGGAAAACAGCCTCCTCATTTCTGTGATCTTCCTATGACAGCTAGAATGTACCTAAAGCACCTAACCTGTTTCACCAGCCCTGGCCTAGTTTTAGTTATCAGTGGCATATCTATGACTTGGTATACAATTTAAAGCCCACTGATAGGAAACTAAACACAGGCACACATGTCTAATGGACGATTCTATGAAAAGACCACTTAACAGACACAATTCCCTTTTATTGACGTTAAGGCCAAGGTTGTTTCTTTCTTTGTTGTTTTTGTTTAACATTTTCTCAAATTTTGTCAACTGCTGAAGCCCAGGCTGAGCTTCTGTGGCACGTGGCGATTCTCTGAATTCTGGAAAAGAACACATGTACCTAAAGTTCAAAATCGACCAGTGACACAGATCTTGGGGATCTGGGAGGAGGAGACCCCACAGACACTTCCAAGCACTGCCGGGAGATTAGTTTTGCCTCTCCGACCTGCCTGCCTTGCCCATCAGCATGCAGTCGGAGTGCCAGGGGAGGGCACAGCCAGCGGCAACGCTTCCTGGTGCTCCAGGGCCTGCCCTCAGGAGGAGGCCTGCCACTCAGTCTGTGAAGCAGGATTCTTCCATCAAAAGAAGCCAAACCAAAGAGCTCCTGGAACACTCAGGACCAAGGCAGATGAGAAGCCTCTAATTAATTTTGTGGCCTTTTTTGGTTTGTTGGTTTAAAAAAAAGTTGGGGGGAGGGAGAGAGAGAGAAGAGTAAAAGGAAAGTGCAGGGAAATTTACTCTTTCGCCTCAGCCAGTTTATTGTTCATCTCTTTGCTTTGCTCCTTGTTGTCTGGCTTGGTGGTACTCGGGCCCTCCACGCTCTTTTTCTTGGCAGCCTGGCCTGACACCGCCTGCTTGTCTTTGGCCTTCCTCGTGGGCTTATGGCTCGCTGAGGTCTTTTTTGGTTTGGAACTCTGAACACTAGGTTTCTCCACCTGCACGGAGAGACAGACGGCAAATACAGAAACACAAAAAGGGGGGGAGTGGGAGAGAATTTAGAGAGAAGATATGGTTAATTAAGGAATAACGGTAATGACAGAGGTTGGCCCAGGTGGAGCACAGTGTATGAGGTGTTCCCAGGTACATTAGGGCACTCGGCATCTCCCGTCTGAACTCCCTGTTCCGTTGCTTTGGCAGCACTCACTGGCCACGTGGGCGCCCTTGTCCTGCCAGCCTTCCCCCGACCACCCCAGGCAGTGGGCCATACCACTGTTGGGCAATATTTGAGCCCCTCCCTGCAGGAAGTTACACCTCATCACGTTGCTCAGCTCGCCCACAGGCATAGGATTTTGCTTCAGTCAATGAAATGTGAGCAGTGACTTGGGTCACCTTCAGGCGGAGGATTTGAGAGTCAGCCTGTGCTGCCCAGTGCTCTCTTTTCCTCTGCAGCAGAGAGACTGCTTTGCCACCCGAGACCCAGATGAAGAGGGTTAGAGTGGCAGCCAACCCACAATGGACATTAATAAGAAATAAACCTTTGTTGATGTAAGATGCAGAGGTTCTGGGGCGGTGGGTCACTGCGGCACTCACTAGCTTCCCCCGTTTCTGTCTCTAGGCTGGCTCACCCATATGGAGAAGCGTCCTTGCTGAGATGCTTTGGGCAGGGGGGTCTCCAGTCTCAGCTAGGCTTTCTGCCGCCAGTCCTCTGCTCCTCTTCTCTGCCTGGCTCCCCTACCATTTTCCCCAGAGCAGCTGTTCTAAGCTCACTCCACTCTCCCCAGCCTCCCTCCTCTAACTCTATCCCCTTCATCTGGAGAAGATGGCCTTGCCTGCTCTTTCTCAGGAAACTTTGGAGTCACCGAAAGTGACCCTTCAATAGGCCACCGCCCTCATCCATCTCTAGATTTAGTTTCCCTCATTTTCCTTCCTTTCTCCTCTACGTCCTCTTTTGTCCAATGCCGATCTCATGCCCCAGGTTCCACCCCATCTCTGGATGGACGGAGCTGATGCTGGGCCTCACAGGCTGGATCATTCACTCACTGAGGTGCAGTGGCTTTCAGTCACTCCTGACCTGTAAGGAAAGGAACCAGTCGTCCTGGTTTGCCTGGAACTGAGAGGTTTCCTGGAACACAGAACTTTCAGTGCTAAGATGGAAGAATCCCAGGCAAACTGGGTCGGTTAGTTACCTTACCCATAAACTGGTCCTGGACCAAATAGGAAACTCCACTTAAGTGTAAGACTTTTAGACAAAAGCAGAGAAAAGGCTAATTAGGTTCCAGAGCTATTTAGGTTCTCAGACATTTTCTGCTATGATACAGAGGACAGTGGATATTTGTACAATTCCACGGGGGCTGGCATCAGAAGATGCTAGGTTGCATGGCTTGTATGAGTCCTGCTTCACCAGCTATATCTCCAACATGCTTCTTCTGCTCACAAACTCCTACGTAAGGTGGAGGAATGTTACCTTAGGAAAATCCCTGAGTCCGCTTTCACAAACCATTCATTTTGGTAACAAATTGCTGGGAACATATCTTACAGCTGATGCTACAGGTGCATTGTGAGAGACTGAGAAGGCATAGTGGATGGTGCTTAGCCCGAGAAGATGAGAGACGGCAGGTGCTTTTCAGGGACTAGGGAGGGAAGAAAGGGTCCAGTGATTGGAGCCAAGGATGAGGCAGGGCACGGTCTAGCGGGAGGGGAGCCGGGCATGGGGGCCTACAATACTGGGCCAGCCCTTCCGGGGCCCAAGCACATCTATTTTAAGACAAGGGGATTTAGGGCTCAGGTGAGGTTTTCTGCTACTGTTTATCTGGATTTCTCAAAGTCGGAAGCTAATTCCCTGGAAATCTGCCAGCCTTTAAGCTGTCTTTATTTTAGGTGATGTCCCTCTTAAATATTCCCTTTGAGTTTAACAAAGGTTCCTGTTGAAGATGCCCGTGGTCTTCACTGTGCTTTAGAGGAAGCAGGGATTTCAAAGGTGTCCATAGGGGCTGGGCCAGATTTGACAGCAGCCCACCCCATGCTCTGCTGCAGTTAACCCTTACGGTCCAGGCTGTGCTGATGGGTTCCTACAAGTTCTGTCTCACCTTTGGGGGTTCCTTGAAGGGTTCACTGTAGAGGCTGCGTATTCTTCTGCGATCAATGACCTTATTGTCAGCTGCTGTTGGCTTGCTGGCTTCTCCTTTGAACTGAGCACTGTAGCTGGTCTCATGAACCATCTTATCATCTGGGGGCTTGTACTGGGGCTTGGCCTTTATTGGTTTCACAGGCTTGATGTCCGTCCATGCCCTGAATTCATTCCTGTTAGTCAAAGAAAGCATATGTGATATGAAGCATCATCTGCCTGGAAGCAGAGCTCCTGAAACAGGGCTGCAAACACAGCAAGCGCTCCATCAGTGCTTGCAGTATTGACTGAAGTGTGGCTGGAGGGTTAGCCTCACTCTTTCATAAGGAAGAGTGCAAATCTCCCTTCTTGCAAAGTTGACCCAGGTCAGGTTGTGGCAATAGCAGTTGTGCCTTGGAGAAAGAGATCAGGCTCCCAGCTCCACACTGTGTGACCATGGGGAGGCAATTCTAATCTTCAGGGCTCTTTTTCCCAATCTTGAAAATGAGACTGAAGAAACTCAACCCATTCAGTCATTCATTAAGTAAAAAAATATTGAGTGTTTGCTATGTGCAAAGTTAAAGAGTTGTGAAATCAATGAATGCCAGTTCCCTTCCCCCCTTTTTCATAATGAAGAACTTTTGTTGTGGTTTCTAATCAGCTGTTTATGATCTGTTATAGGGCTGGAGAGTAGATGGCTGACAATGTTCAAAACAGAGTTAAAAAATGTAGCTCCTGACGGAGGTCACGAGGGTCTACCTTGTGTGTTAAGTGCACGAGAGTCAATGCATGAGCTCTGTGACTTCTGGGGTCTTTATTGGGTCTGTTCTCCTTTGGGGGCACAAAAAGCTGCATTGTGGGAAAGGAGGAGTTAGGGCATGAATATCTGCGGAGTTAGGTTCTTCCAAGGCCCACTGTCTCCCTCACTGATGACTCCCTCCTTCAGGGCTCAGAGAGGACTACCAGGAACAAGGAGTCCGCAGGAGGCAGAAGAAAGAGCTTGGACTGCGATGGAGACACGCAGGCTCTCGCGCTAGCACTGCCTTATGCTGGCAGGCCTTTCCCTGCTCTAAGCATTCGTTTTCTCATTTGTAAAATGAAAGAATTAGGCCAAACAAGGTCCTTATAATGTCCTTCTAGCTCTGAGGCTGTCTTAGTTGATAAAGCTGATTTGGTAATACTGAGCTTGCTGGTTATTTGACCTCCTGATCTCTGTATTTCTCTAGGGGAACTGGCTCATATGTGAAGAGAGACCACTGGCTTTTAAGAGACCCTTCCCTGAGCTTCAGACTGTCCTTTCCAGTGCAGCCTGCGCCTCCACCTAGATGCCCCGTTGTTATGGTTCGAATGTTTGTCCCCTCTAAAACTCATGTTCAAACTTCATCCCCAGTGTGGCAGTATTGAAAGGTGGGGTCTGTAAGAGGTGACTGGGTAATGAGGGCTCTGCCCTTGTGAATTAATTAACCAATTCCTAGATTAATGTATTAATAGGTAATTGATTAATGAGTTGCCATTGGAGTGGGACTGGTGGCTTTTATAAGAAGAGGAAGAGAGACTTGAGCTGGTACACTTGGCCCCCTTGCCATGTGTCACCCTGTGCTGCCTCAGGACTCTGCAGAGTCCCCACCAACAAAAAGGTCCTCACCAGATATGTCTCCTTGGCCTTGGACTTCCCAGCCTCCAGAACTGTAAGGAATACATTTTATTTCTTATAAATTACCCAGTTTCGGATATTCTGTTATAGGCAACAGAAAATGGAAAAAGACACCTACCTACAACTCATACTCAACGTCCCTAGACCCAAATCATCTTGTTTTCACTGCCAAAAATTATTTTCTCCTCCTGGATTCCCTCATCATTCATTTTCACCCATTCATGCATTCATTCATTCACTCATTCATTCATTCATTCCTTTATTCACAAAATATGTACTGAGTGCTTATGGTCTGCCTAACAGGATGCTGGGTGCTATGGAACCCAAGCGAGTAGGAAAAGGCCCTGTGAGGACCTGCAGGCAGTGTGGGTGGCTGGGCTCACATTTAGTGGGGAAGGGCATAAGAGGCTAGACAGGCCATGGAGGCCCTGCCAGCCATGTTAAGGGGACAGTCTCCACTGTAACTAAGAGTTGCCAAATGATTTCAAGCCAAGGATGAGTGTGGCCAGGTTAGTTTTGGAAAGAGAATTTTGAGAGCAGTGTGAACAGCGGACAGAAGGGAAGAGTGGAGGCAAGAGGCCAGGCAGGAGACTGTGCAGTTAGGAAGTGGCGGAAGCAGGGGACAGAGAAGAGGGTGCTGGGTCAAGAGAGAGAATGGGCAGGACTTGGAAACTCATGAGCGGTGGGAGGTGAGGTCAAGGGGGCATCTGGGGAGACGCCAGGGCTCTGGCTGGGGGGCAGTAGTCCCCCACTGAGACATGGAAATTGGGAGGAAAATGGGCTTTGGAAAGAGGTTGAGGCCCTCATGATTCTGTTCACGGCATCCCACTTACCCCAGTAACGAGGCTGTTCTTGGATCCCTTCCTCATCCCTCCTCCTCACTTCTCCACCTTCTTTAGGTTCAATCCTCCTTCCTGACCTGACTTCTGAACCATTTTGGCCCTACACACAGGCCTAGGGGCTTTGGGGCTGTGGCCAACATTACCTGCCAGAGGCTACAGTCTCTCCCTCCTTCCCTCTAACCTTCAGAGCCGAAGCCTTGCCTGTTAGATGGGCTCCTGGTATTTGGGCCTGGGCCTCCCAGGACCAATTCAGTAACAACCTTGCTCCCGAACATGTGACAGCAGAAACTTGGATTCTCTGTCACACCCCTGCCCACTTCCAGAACCAGCACTGAGATATGTGTACCCTATTCCTAAGCACTGCTTCTGGGTCACCTCTTGCAGACCAGCCTCTGCAGCCTCCTGCATCCCTGCAGTGGCCCCTGTGGGCTGGGGAGCATCTCACCTGTGAGCACTATCAGTGGGACATGTCCCTGTGGGAAAGTTTGGTAACCCCTGATCTTGAACAACTCTGGTACGTCATCTTCACATGAGACCTTTTTAATGAGTTGCAGAACAGGTTCACTGTAATTATGACAGATGGTTAGGTTTAAGCCCAAATTCCATTTCCTAGAAACTTCTTTGTCAAGGCGTGAAAATGAGCCAAATAATAAAAAATGAAAAAATAAAAAAAAAAAGAAAGAAAAAAGAACTTTCTTTGAACTCTCCATAAAACCTCCAGTCACATGCAACAACTATTATGTCATAGAAAGAAAATTAGCTACCATTCATTAGTTGCCTTTTATAAGCTGGAGGATTTTGTTTTATTGGTATATTCTCTATAGTTCTTATAACAACTTTGAGAACAGGTACTATTATGCCCCTTTTATAAAGGAGGGTAACCAAGGCTCAGAGAGATTAAGTGGCTAGAATAAGGCAATGCAACTAGCAAATAGCAGAACTGGGGTCTGAGCTCAGGTCAGTCAGGCTCCACAGCCCACAGCCCACAGCCTTCCCACTACACTTCGGCAATGCGCCAGAGCTGCAGTGTGCTTGGCCTGCCCTCACTGGAGGTGTCTGTGCAGGGCCTGGCCTGCTGCCTGCAATGCTGTAGAGGAGTTTACATGACACAGACCAGGCTAGATGGCACCTAAGCTCCTCCAGCCCTGAGATGCTAGACTGAGAGCAATATGGGCCACACTCTTGCCCTGTCATGCCCAGTGCCTCTTGACAAATTCATGGTCCCCTGTAACATGATCTTCCCTTCCTATGCAACTACATTTTTTCTTGATCATTCATTCATTCATTCATCTATCCACTCATCCATTCATTTGGCATCTGCCACACACTAGCCAAGGGCATGGAATGTGCCCCACAGGGATGTATAAGCCATGGATGAGGTGTCTAGAGTTCAGGTATCTAGACTTGACCATGTGTGATCCTAAGAAAAGACAGAATGAATCAAATGGGACAGGGTTCAGAGGGCAAGAGGGAAAGGAATGCTTAACTCTGAAGGTGAGTGAGGACTGGGGAAAGGGGTACTGAAGGATGTCAACAGAGAAGCAGATGAAGGGAATTCAGACACTAGTCTGAGTCTGTATGGCAGGTTCAGACAGCAGGTGAACTGATCAGGTGGCTGCTCAGGATGCAGGGTGGGGTCTTGGAAGCTGTGCAAAGTGCCCAGGATGGATAGGAGCTGAGGCCAGGCAGAACAGAGCCTGGATGCCATGTTTGGAAGCATGTGCTATGCCTGGGAAGATGCTGAAAGTTTCTGAGCAAGGCAGCACTGTTTCTCCATTGATGGTGTTCTCCTACTATCAGCCTGCCCCGATTCTACCTATTCTTTAAGGCTCAGCTCAGGGGTCTCCTCTTCCAGGAACCTCTCCTGGGTTACTCAACCCAAAATTTCCCATCTCTCAGCTCCTGGTCCATTTACTTTACTGGCCATCTTTGTGGTTACCAGGCAGTTTCATGACATTCTTCCGTTCTTTCATGAGTCCATTTTGTCTCTCTTAAGGGATAAGATAAGACAAATTTTATGACAGAATCCTACTCTTGAGTCCAGTCTCATTTGCATGGCTGCAAAGGGGTATACTATGTCAGGCTGCAGGTTAGGGTCGAGCAGGGCTAGGACTCCAATCCCTGCCTGTTTCCCATACCCTAGGCTGCCACACAGGGCCACACTCCGTATCTTCTTTACATTCTTCACAGGATTTAAGGGCTTGACATTCAGTGGGCAGTTAATGTTAGTAACTATTGTTAGATTTATTTCTGGTCAGCTGATGTCACTTCCTCCTGAGCCCTTCCTTCCCTGCCCTACATGGGGCAGACACTTGCTTCTCGGTGGCATGGGAATGCCTGACTCCAAAGCTCACACCTGGGGGTGGATGTGTGACCCAAGCTTGTATTGGTGTCCTTCAAGCTCATGGCCACTTTGGCTCCTGGAAGTAATCACAAGAAAGCCATTCCCTTCAGTCAGCCTGGGTGTACACCACAGTGAGGCCCTGGGCACACTGGGAGGGTCCCATATCTGTGAGTTTCTACTCCTGACATCCCAGAGATGCTCCTCATGCCACAGCTTCTCTAGTATTGTGATGTGTAGAAGTCACAGGGACAGGGTGCTCTGTAAGTGCATCACCAAAGGCCTGCTGTCCCCTCCACAACAGAGCCTCTGGTGGACCCTGTTATTTGAGCCTTGAAACATGACCTATCTCATATACAA